CATTCGCTGGCTGGGGAATTCTGGGAGTTGAAGTCCGGACATCTTCAAGTTGCCAAGGTTGAGAAACACTGTTTTAGTGCACTTGTGAATGGTTCCTGACAAAAAAATGATTCGGACCGCAGCTTTAAAATGGTCTTCTGGCTCCCCAGGTGTTCTGGGTTGAAAGGGACCTGAGCAAAGATGGCAGAAGATGTTCAACAACAGAATCCTTCTCCTTTGCTTTGTCCATCCAGCTTCACTCAATGTGTCGGAGTTGCGGGTTGGGATAACCCATTGTCTGAGTTTGCACAGGTGAACCAGAAACTGAGGGGGGTCCTTGGTGAGCTTGGTGGGTTTCTTGCAGTGGTTTCATTCCCCAAACCAGGTAACCCCCATCGAGGGCTAGGCAGAAACTGAGCCATTGGGCTGAGTTTACATGACACGCTAACTCATTCACCACAGTAGGTCTTTTGCCGAGTTGGTTAAGCATGTCCCCAGGAATGCTGGGCATGCACTGAGCATGTAAGCATGGAGTGTTGTGTGTGTGTGGCTGCTGCCGGGTTGGGAAGGAGGTGGCATCCCTCCAACGTTAAGGGCCAGGGGGGGGTCTTTTGAGCCCTTCCACCATCCTCTGCTCCTGAGAAGGGATGAAAGCCCCTTCCAGTCCTGCCTGGCAGACATGCCTGAATTCATGAAAATGCCGTTTTGCATCGTCAGGGACAGCAAGTGTGGCTCGGGCTTGGAGTTCCACCTTCGACCACATCATTGGAGGCCACATCTCCACTTTCTTCCGGAACCACACAGCTTTGCACCTGGAGAACGTGCTGGCTGAGTACCCCGACTTCTTCGCCCTCTTCTTGGTGCTGCTGCTCACAGGTGAGGCGTCTCAACCTGCCTTGCCAACCGGCGGGGCTCAGGCGGGCAGGGGCTCCCTCTCAGCCAGTGGGGGAGGTCATCAGTGGTGGGTTTCAATTTTTTTTAGAACCTCTTCTGTAGGTGTGGCCTGCTTTGTGGGAGTGGCTTGCCGGGCATGTGGCTGGGTGGGAGTGGCTTGGCAGTCATGTGACCGGGTAGGCGTGGCCAACTTGTAAAATGTGGTGGAACTCACTTAACAACGCTCTTGCTTAGCAACTAAAATGTTGGCTCAGGAACTCTGGCATTGAAGCGCGCAAGTCTTAAAGCTGTCAAGTTACAAGACCCTTGCACCCCTAACCCTTTAGAAAAAAAACCAGGGTGTTCAAAGTTGACAGCTTTAAGACTTCTGGACTTCAACTCCCAGAATTCCTCCTCCAGTCA